TGCTCAAAAAAAGAAAAAACAAATCTGTTCTCTATTAACAAACGGCTGGTTGCCAAAAAGGAAGGGTGTGGGGGGAGTGGGAGGAATGGGCAAACTGGGTGAAGAGAGAGTTGGAAGATACAGGTTTCTAGTTAGGGAATGAAGAAGTCATAGGAATAAAAGGTGCAGCTTATGGGAATATAGTCAATATTATTGTAATAGTATTATATGGTAGTAGATGTCAGCTACACTTGGGGTGAGCAGAGCATAACATATAGAGAAGCTGAATCACTATGTTGTACACCTGAAACCAATGTAATATTGTGTCAACTACATTCAAATAACAAAATTTTAAAAAGACCCATTCTCTATTCACTCGCCTAGCAAATTTTCACTGCCTGCCTATTACATGCAAAGCACTATTGATTAATGTCTTCCCCTAACTTATCTTCCTAAGGTTTTTAGATAATTGCGTATCTTTATAAAAAAGTATTATACTCAAAAGTATGCCATTTTTAACATGTGGGAAATCAACTTAAAGTTACCAAGTTTTTCTGTAATTGAAGTTATGGAAACCACTGTTAGAGACCACATCAAATTTATAAAGCAGTTTTCAAAAAAACATTTTTTTTGTTACATAGAACATATTCATCATTTATGTAACACAATCACTGCTTTGGATTTATTCTGTGGCTCTTAGGTTTAATTTATTTGTGAGTTGCAAAACCCATTATGTAAAACTCAAGAATGAATAAAAAGGAAAAGGTAAGTGATTGACAAAACTAACTGCAATGTGCTGACACAGTTCTGTGGCGATCACCTTCCAAGTCCTGGAGGAGAGCAAGGTGGAGCTGGCAGATTGTGGGAAATGCAAAAGCTTTTTGTTCTTAGGAGTGCAGAGTAGAAGGAGGTAAGAGTTAAAAAGGTGAGTTGCAAAATCTCTGTCCAATGTGAGTTATTATGATTTGAAGCATGTCTACCACACTAGACTCTAACTCGGGCTTTAATTCTGGGGCTTCTTCGGAAAACAAAAAAAAAAAATCAAAAAACAATCAACCAGTATGGGTCTGCACATGATACATCCACATCATAAAAATGAATGATCTATTTCAAGAGAATGGAAACTGGCGCCTGTCACCTGAATTTGAGTTCCGCCATAAGGGCTGAAAATGTGACTCACAGCTTCCCCATGACTCGATTTGCTATGGGAAAATTGCCTTCCTAAGTAAAAATCCTCTACTTATACAGAAAATCACAGCATGTATAAAAGTGATTTAGGACCCCCCCAAATGATATATGTTCTAATTTCCAGTGTGATAATGTATAGAACATGGACTTGTGCTAAAAGCAGTACTTCTGGGCACCTGGGTGGCTCAGTTGGTTAAGCAACTCCCTTCAGCTCAGGTCATGATCTCAGGTCAGGGTCTTGGGATGGAACCCCACATCGGGCTCCCTGCACAGCGGGGGACCTGCTTCTCCCTCTCCCTCTGCTACTCCCCCTGCCTGTGCTCTCCTGCTCTCTCTCTACCGCACAAATAAATAAAGCCTTTAAAAAAAATAAAATCAACACTTCTGTTTTCAAACTAATGGCTTAAGTAATTCTACCTATAACAAAGAACTGTTTTTTTTTTTTTTTTAAACAATTAGTGGTTAGCAGAGGTTGGGAGAGGGGAAAGTGGGGTATTATTGTTTAATGGGTACAGAGTTTCAGTTTGAAGTGATGAAAAAGTTCTGAAGACAGATGGTGGTGATGGTTACATGACATTGTGAATGTACTTAATGCCACTAAACCATCCACTTAGAAATGGTTAAAAAGGTCAGTTTTATATTATGTATATTGTACCGCAATCAAAATTTTAAAAAATGTTATTAGCCTCAAAAATGAAAACACATAGAAGAACAATGTATTCCTGGTTGTAAATCCTTGCTCATCTAGACTGATAAAAAAAAAAAAAAATCTCTCAAAGCAATTATGTCAAAATAAGCAGCCAACTAGATTAAGTGAATCATTAATGCAATAAAAACATTTTGTCATTGCAGAAAGCCCCTAGTCATGCCAAGAGGTTATACCTATGGAATTTTATACACACTACACACACACACACACACACACACACGACTAAGAAAACAATAAATTTGTAGAACCTTATCTTTATTAGTCAAGTAGTACAAAAAACCAAAGTGGGGAGGTCCATACATAATGCACGCTTGAGAACCCTGTTACTACAGAACTCTCAGACTTAAACATGCAATCTCCAGGTGTGGAGTATATTAGAACAAAACAGTCTAGAACAGTCCATATTGTGAATCTCCCACACACACTACCCCTTTCCCCAGAAAATTGGGCTCATTTCCATTTGCTTACCACCAGTCCTAGTACGAGGGTGCGGACTCTCTCTCCTATCTCTGGAGAAATGTCATTGCCAAACTGCTGCAGGGTAGTAAGGAACCGTTTCAGCTTACTGAGCTGCCTGGCGCCACAGGCTGGGGGCAGCTGTTGATTAGCCAGAGAAGAAGAGGAAGAGGAGGAAGGCCCATTGCTAAAGCCATTGGGCGGCGAGGGGGCGCCATTCAAGGCTGTGGGTGAATGGCTCGTGCCATTAGTTACTGTCGAGAGCACAAAATCAGAAAGACAAAAAATAAATAAATTTACAGGGAATATGCACAAGGAAATTATAACCAAGCTTCATTCCCTTTAAATCTAGTGGATTGTGTAATTTAACAACTGTTGGGGGTTTGCTGTAAAATGCTCTGACTTCACAGGATGACCACAGGTTCGGGTCCTCTGTAACTAAATGAGCCTAAGTCCTCACCCTGCGTGAGGGTATTCTACACAGAAGCTGGTAATAAATGGCAGTTGGCTGTAACACAGGGACAGCCCTGCCTCCCATGTGCACATATGCCAACCACCTGAAATGTTTCAAACACAGAACAAATAGTGGTGGGATGTCAGCCTTTTGTCACAGGCTTACATCAGTATAACGGGACCATTCCTTTCTAAACTGTTCCCCCAGAGAAAGTGTACATTTGGTGGAGACTAAATTTATCACTGAACATTTTTAATCATGTTTTGTACACACAACTGACAGCTGTGTTTATAGAAATAGGACTTTCAAGTTTTAACCTTATACCACCCAATTAGAAGGCTATTTTCTCCCCCTCATATTTCTTAACCACTTCTTTAGGGAAAATGCAAATTTTGCATAAGAAGCCAAATGGATATGGTAATTATCAAAGAGTTATTTCAAGAAATTGAAAAGGGACATCTCATTCCAACTAATAGCATGGGTGGGTGGTAATTTGATAACTTCATTTCCGATCAAATTTATTTGAACAACAAGATCACTCGTAAGAACGAGACTGGAAAATGTGGCACATTCCTCACTGAAGACAATGTTGATTTTATTGTATTAAATCTATTAATTCAACAAACTCATCCTTATCAAACCCATCTTTGTAATAGAATGTTGACAGATTATCTCCAACCGTGGTTGGAAGTGTCTTAAGTACTTTTATTCTTCTTAAAAGTTTCAAGATAATGAAAAGGTCCCTTGTCCCAAATGAGAGCCAAAGCACCCTGTCACGGAATGATTGCTCACTAGGACCTCTCACAGGAGACATATGTCTATCCCTGTGGCTTTGGGTAACAACAAACCAAATACAAGATGACAGGGTAACAAGTTGGCACCGACGCAGCCTCCTATTCCTTCCACGTTTGGAAAGGTCTTTTAAATGACAGTGTGACGCTGCCTAAACAGCCTGGGCTGTGTATTTTGCCAATCCCTTATAATCCCATGGATCTGTCTGTTTTTGCCTGTTCGTTATTTTTCATTCATATAGACTTCACGGCACGTGGTCTGTAAATAGTATTATCTGTAACAGATAGCATTTATTAGTTTCACAAATCCTTTATGACACTTTTGACCAGGATTCTGAGACTGACTGAAAACAAAGCTATCCACTACCCCTACTGGAATATACAGGAAAGAAAGAGAAGTTACTCTCTGGTCAGAATGTTCTGTCCTTTCCTGGGACAACCCAGAAAGCAACACACACCACTGATTGAGAACACAAGGCCTGAGTCAAGCTGGAAGTAAGTAAAGATTTAATAAAAGTCTGGCAGGTTCGAGACAAGAAAGATGCTCCTTATTTCAGGAAGTTTTCCATATGTGACTGTTGCCTAAAGCCATACCCCTTCTAACTTAAGACTGCTAGATTTCACTATTATTTGTAAATAACAGAAGAAAGTAGCATTAGAAGATCAGAAGCAACCTGGAAATAACTGTAGGATATTAACATGTTCCAAGTCAAAATGTACAAACTAAAATAAGGAGCTACACGTTGAGTCGAACTAAAAGTTACAATGATAACAAATGGAGTCATAGGCCCAATGAATGCTGTATTCCTCACTGCAGAAATCAAAGCAGACTACAACTCTGAAGCAAAAATGGAAAGGCAGGGGCGCCTGGGTGGCTCAGTGGGTTAAGCCTCTGCCTTCCGCCCAGGTCATGATCTCAGGGTCCTGGGATCGAGCCCCGCATCGGGCTCTCTGCTCGGCAAGGGAGCCTGCTTCCCCCCTCTCTCTCTCTGCCTGCCTCTCTGCCTACTTGTGATCTCTCTCTGTCAAATAAATAAAATCTTTAAAAAAAAAAAATGGAAAGGCAGGCAAATATTGGCGGTCATACAAACTATACTGAAGATGCTATACGTCTGCACAGGCTTATTACCTGCTCACTGCCAATTAAACGATTTGGTGGCGGGAAGGGGTGCTTCGTCTGTGGAACACATTGTTGCTGGATCTTATTTTCCCTTAATTTTCATATGCAGGAAAAAAAAATTTAGACTTTAAAATGCAAACAGGAAATGCAGAAATGCCTACTCACAAGTCGTCGGCGTAAATGAACTGGTTCTTGGAGCTCCTTGAGTTGTGGGGGGAGGTGGCATGGTGGGAGGAGTCAGCCTGGATGGGGTCTTCACATCCACAGGTGAGTCTGGCATCGTGGAGTGCTTCTCAGTCCGATCTGGAGGACGCCACCATGAACAGGTTATTTTACTCCTTAAGCACCTTCGTGGTTTTTTGTTTCTTGTTTTTTGGTTTTGTTTTGTTTTAAGTGGGGCTCCTCTTTTTTACAAGCAAGTGAACAGAAGAAATCCGACATCTCCTATCAATAAAGTAGGCTTATCTACTGAAGTTTAAATCAGGACTTTATCATCCAAACCCCACTTAAGAAGGTGTAGCACAGATGGCAGGACCTCATTTGTAACTGGGTTATTTTACATCCTATTGTTATTTCTGGCTTGGGCAGATGCTACCTTGGTAGTGTTATATGCAAGAGCACAACTTCACTGGAAGCTGAAGCCAACATTAGCAAGAGCTAAAAAAATAGATGGGGAAGTAGAATGGTAATAAACCCTTTAGCTCAGAAACGACACAAATCTGAAGTCTGTTAGGCAGGTGAGATACTTGTAGGAGCCAGCATTTTGCAATGATTTTTCCATAACACCTGCCATTCCTTTTCCACGCTCCATTTCTGGCCTAGTAGATGAAGCAGGTTAGGTCTCCCAGAGACAGTGCTCACATCAATGTTTCTCTGCCCTGCTTGAAAAATTGCCACTACAGGAATGCGGTCTTCTACACAACGAAGGTAAACTAATTTACTCAGAATCTGTGAGTTTATGAACCACCGTTTTAGAAAACATGAGACCAATATTTCGATTAATAATCCCACGCAGAGTAAGAATGGAACAACCCCCAAACTGACAACTAAGAAAAACTGGAGACCGTCTCTCCCTGTATTTTTTCATGCGTGTGGGACAGATATGGAGAAACTTCCTGATTACCCAATAATAAGCATTTGAGCTTCAGGACTGTTTTCTACTAAGTATATTTTTATTTTTCCTTCGAAATTTCAAGCTGCTTTTTTTTTTGGTCAGTCAAATTTGTTTATCAAAGCGACAGATCTCCAGTTTAAAAAAAAAAAAAGTGGGTTTCATTTGTTCCTTCAGATCCAATTTTCTACAAACACCGTGTGCCTGTGCGCACATGCGCACACACGCCCCCCAAAATGTCTGAGGTGCCTCTTACAGTCTCAGATGCAGATGGTTCCCACTTGGACTGTTTAAAATGTAAGACAGACTACTGATCAAGAAAGAGTCTTTTAAAACCTTATGATAACCAGAGGCAGAAATTCTCAAAAATTACTTAAAAGTCTGTTCTTTGAAAATGAAAAATCCAAATTACTACTATGGCAATTCCAAACCCAGCTCACACCTTTATTCAGAGCCGATTCGTTAAGACTTGGGTAGCAAGAGAACATAACATTTTCCAGTTGAAATATACCGTATTAGGGAAAATGTGAGAAAAGAATGAAAATATAATCATCATTCTAAGAACAGCCCTTCGATAACCTAGCAGCCGGGTCTCCAGTTCTTAATCTCAACTGCTGGCTGAGGAGCGACTGTCCCTTCAGTAAATACGTGTTCTGAGTGAAATGATGGTGAAAACACACCATGGAGAGCATTTCTACCTTTTTCTTCCTGTTCATAACTCATCTTCATACTGTAATTCCAGAGCATTTAACACCCAGAATCGGTAAATCACTTACTCTAGGAAAACACAGAAGTTAGGCAGGTTTAAAACCGCTTTTTCAACGGTTAAAATCACTGCACAGTCTACTCACCTCAACCAACCTCAGCAACAAGGGAATAAATAGCTTTCCGCTTATGTTGCAGCTGAGGGAAGAGGTACAGCAGCAAATACAAGTCTCCCTAAATAAAGGCAAATATTTCTGTCATGCCAAGGAAGGAGGGATCGAGGGAGGCTTGCCAAAGTCGGCTGGGAGATAACAGTGGGAACTGCTGGTCCATCTGGTTTTCATTCTGCTAACACTCACGCTGAACTGTGAGAGAAGGCAGTCCAGATACACAGATTTGAAGCACGTGGTCGCACAGAGAGAGGAAGAGCAGGAGGGGGAAGGGGAAGTGGGAATAATGAAAAAATAAATAAATAAAGCAATGGAAGGCAAAGAGGAGAGAGAAAAGATCAACACAGGGAGAAAACAGCCTACGTGCAGAGAAAGTTACTTGGGATGGCTTCGTCTACACCAAAAAGCAGACCCTTAGCGGGCACAGCTCCTACATCATACTTACCTCCATGTACCTCCTGGGCAAAACCTAACCTGGAAAACATATCTTAATCCCTGTGTGTCTTTACTCTGTTTGCCGACGCTAAGAGGAAAGGAAACGAACGATAAAACTGAGAACAGGGCTTCCTCTCCAAACTCGAAATGAACTTAATAATAGTAACAACAACAACAATAAAAGGTAGATGAGTGATATTGTTAAGATTCTTCAAATGACACCGATACCTGAAGAACAATAACCACTAAGCCAATAAATAGCAAAAACAAAAAACAAAACAAAACAAAAAAACAAACGCACCGCTGCTTCTAACAGGAATATATCCATCCTAACTGGAATATACGTATACTATGTATAGACTTGGGATTTTGACTCTAGCCAGATTTCTGTGACGGTTAGCTTCACTCTGATCAAATGGAGCTCCAACCCAGAGGTCCTACAAACTTAGACAAAGTGGGACCATATGTAACTCATTCTATGCTGTTCAGTGCAATCAATCCAGGATGGGGACCGATGGTGAAGTAACCAGCCAGGCCTAACCCATACACATACACACACATACACACTCTCTCTGGAGTAGAGAGATTTAAGATAAATTCAGAAAATATGTTTCAAGTATGCTGAGTTCTGTTGCATTTGTTTTGGATTACTTAAAAAAAAACATTTTGAAATATATATTCTTGAAACTTTTATAGCAAACAGCAAAAGAGCTATGATTCAACCACTGAAGTATTTCACTCCACTTCAAATTAGAGGACACAGTAAAACCAATATTAAGTTAGAATATTTCTTATGCAATTTTTTAAGTTTCTGAAAATTATACTGTTCTTAGACATAGTTTCTATTTTTAGTCCCTGCATGGGGAATGCTGACATTTATTGAAAGACTGACACAAAATGATAAAAAAGAAAAAAAAAAGAAAGAAAACAAGTCTCTATCAGAGCAGGAAGGTATATATAATCGAAAGGACTGACTTTACTTCTACCTTAGGATTCTCACCACTTCTAAATAAAGATCTCCCCTATGGGGTAACATTTCAACTCACCTGGCAAATTTCCAACACATATGTCCCAAAGATGGCTGAAACATGGAAGAAAATGTGGCATATATAAATACATTACTGATACCATTTCAATATCCAATTCAGTGTCAAGGCCTTCTAGAAGTGGTATGTTTTCCATTTCCTTTTTTCTTTTTTTAGGTAAAAAGAAGAGGTATGGCATAATCTACCATAGCACTTATTTTACTTTTAGTGAGTTCAAACAGTTCCAGATGTGTTTTTAAGGTAGGAAGACGAGGCATTCTGTATTTGCCTTGTTTACATCCTATTTTAGAGATGATTCAGGTAAATAGAAGTTCAGGGCTGGTAGACAGAACATCTTTTTCTCTCCGCGTTCATCATGGCAATTATAATAGAAGAATTAGCTGTGTCCAAGGAGATGTTATGGGTTGAGAAACCTCTTGGCGCATTAGCAGTTTGGCCAGAGTTAGTCTGACTGGAGTAAGCGAGCACCAGCTATAGGAGCGAGAAGTTCAATAAAGCGGAGTAAGCCCAAGAAGAACTCAAGTACTACCACCGGGAAGGAGAAGACAGTTGGGAGGCACAGAACTAGGTACAGAATTTTTTATTTCTATGCAAAACACGGCAAACACAGACCTGACAAGAGAATCACTTAGTGACTCCACTGTCTGCGTGTGAGACGCTGTAAGAGACTGTCTGCAGACCGGCATGGTGTTCACCCAGCCTCCACAATGCTGCCATCTCATTTCCCTGCTGAGCCCTTCTGGAAAGTTCATTCCTGCTTGGAACCCTTGAATAACACCTGAGAATAAAAGTCTAATGCTAACATTTTACACCTGATGGAATGAGACAATGGATGACTATTTGGAATAGTAGATGAATTTCCCAGTTAGGACAGACTTGGTTTCAAACATAGACTCAGCCCTTAGCAGTGGGTCCTCAGGCAAGTTATCTGGAGAATGAGTTCCTCATAAGAATAGGGATACAATCTTCTCTGCCTCCTCAGGACCCTGACACAGTGCGTACTCACGTCAGGCACCAACATGTGTGATTTCCATTCTCTTGTGCCTGCCTCTTTGTGATCCATTCATGGCTTTATTTCCAATGCCTTCCCCTCAATGTCTATGCTCTATCTGTACAGGGCACCTAGACACTCCCTGGTTTTTCTGCCTCCCTTTTTGTGCTGTTGTTTCCTTCATCTAGAAGGATCTGCCCCATCTACCCCATTCTTCGCTGCCCATTACAGACCCTCTTACAGCTCTTCCCAGGTGCCCCAGGCACCAACCACATCATGCTTGCTGGGCCTTTATTTTAGCATTTACCGCAGCCTATGTGGACAATAGTTGTGTGTCTATATGTACGTGCATGTTGTATACCCAATCACCCCAACCAGGGAAAACTACTTGATGGCATTTCTTCAAATGTTTCATTTAAAAGATAAACACACAACCATCAACAGCATATAAATATATAATTAGAAAATCGAATGTAGGTAACATGGGAAAATGCTGGGGACCTGAAATTTAGTTCGACTTTGTGATCAACTTACACGGTTTTACATGGTTAAGTGGAAGAATGATCTGTTACCTCACGTCTTATCACAGGTGTTTGATGATGACTGTTTTTTCCCCCCTGAAACACAAATATGACCTTAACTCTTTCATCATTTAAAATCTTCGGGAGGGAGTGTCTATTGTTCACAGAATACAATATAAGCTCATGAGCTTAGCTTACATCACAGATACTATTGAGTTCCTGCTGAACATCCCTTCTCCCTTTCTTTCTTGCTGGAAAAGTCCTGATTTTGCTCAGGTTGTCCCACTCCCCTTTATCAGCAATAGGTTTCAGAAATGAGGGCTG